AGAGCGTGGTGCTGACAACACCAAGTCAAGGGTTAAGAACCCCTTACCGGTCATCTTTAAAAAAAGAAAAAAAAAAAAAAAAAAAAAAAAACAGACAAACAAAAAACATTCTAGGAGGAGCAGTGACCAACCCTGCAGGGAAGACTGGGGATTTCCAGGGGGAGAACCAGGGAATACCATGTCCGGGGCAGGGCCCGAGATGTGGTGGGGTGGGGGTGAAGGTCACTAGGGTGAGGGTCGGACAGGGAAGGTGATGTCTCTGTGAGGGAGGGCAGGGCGAGGGTGGGCTGGGGGGCCAGTGCCAGAGTGGGAGGAGGCCGAGAGGAAGCAGCCAGAGTCCCCCTCAGTTCAGTGACGGACTGGGCAGGGGTCCCAGCAGCTGGCCTAGGCCTCCTTGCCCTGCTCAGAGCCGACTAGTGCTGCGCTGGGCCCGGGAAAGGGGTGCTCCCGCCTCCCTCCCAAGCTGCTCATGCTGCAGATGACTCAGGTGCCACCCCCAGTCAGGCGCCATGCCCTCCTGCCTTGCCTCAGTGGGGACAGCCTTCCCACAGCACCTCCACCCCAGGGACAGGATGGGCCGGGCTTCAGCCCTCTAGAAGGCCCAAGAGGCCCACAGAGGTCAGGCCTGGAAGAGGCGTGGGGCACATGGGGCCACCTCTGTCCTCCTCAGGCCATTCCTTGGCCTCAGCCTGTGGCTGCCAGCCACTGGCATCAACCAACCCAGCCCCTTGCCCATCTCCTTATCACAAGCTGGGAACCAAGGAGACTCAGGGGTTCCTGGAATGCTGCAGAAGCTCTCTTAACCCTCGACGCCTGCTTGAGGAGGTCCCAGCACCTGCCTTCCTGCTTAGTGACTCTGCCACTTTCTGACCAGTCCCCCCGTCCCCCCACCACACAGGCAGCTGCACTGTCACATGATGGTTCCACTTCAGGCAGGCACCCCAGCACCCACAGGCGGGAACCAGGCAGGAATCCCCAACTGTCCCCTCGTCAGCCTCTGCCACCAAACCTAAAAGGCAGACATAGGCCAAGATGGCCCCGGGCGCTAAGCACCAAGCCCAGCTTTTGAGGAGCTAGGCCGGAGAGGGAGGGCTCTGAGGTGGGGTCCCAGCAACCTCCAAGGATCAGCTGGACCCCACTCCTAGACAAACTGGAAGTCAGCCCCCACCACAGGGAGCAAGGAAACACAGCTCCTCAGGCCAGGCCAGCTTCAACATAATGCG